CGAAGTTCCTTTTTCTGCCTTTTGTGTGCGTTATACTCGCTTCTATGTCGTCTGATATGGTCTGTGCGATCTATACTGATCCAATAGTATCCATGTGAGATGATCTAATAAAGATACAGTGTGCACACCAATGGAGATGATGTATGTTCAATAGCCTGTGGTTGTCGTTATTTATTCTTCTGAGTCGTCTTATATGGTAAGAGCTATCGCATCTGCTCCAACTGTATCTATATTAGATGCTAGAATGTAGAGTCACACTGTACACATAACCGAAATAGAAGGTTCTTTCTCTGTCTGTTGTGTGCGTTTTACGCGCTTCAATATGCTGTTATATGGTATTCGCGATCTATTCTGCATCGATAGTATCTATGTGAGATGACGGAATAAAGAGATACAGTGTGCACAGTGATGAAGTCGATGTATCCCCATCTGCCTGTTGTTTTCGTCAAATACCCTTCGAAGTCATACTATATGGTCGGTGCGATCTTATCTGCACCAAGTGTATGCAAGTCAGAAGCTGGAATGCAGGCCCCAGAGTAAACATAGTCGAAGTCGAAGTTTCTTGTTCTGCGAACTGTGTGCGTTATACCCGCTTGGATGTCGTCTCATATGGTCAATGCGAACTTGTTCGCTCCGATAGTGTCCATATGAGGTGATACGATAGAGATATATAGGGTGTACGACGATGAAGTCGATGTATCCTTATTTGCCTATTGTACTCGTTATATACTCTTCAAAGTCGTCTCATACGGTCACTGCAATCGTATCTGCTCCAACTGTATGCATGTCAGATTCTAGACTGCAGAGTTACAGTGTAAACATAGTCGGAGTCGAAGTTTCTTGTTCTGCAAGTTGTGTGCGTTATACCCGCTCAGAAATTGTCTCATATGGGCATTGGGAACCCCGCTGTTCCAATAGTATCCATGTGAGATGATAGAATAGAGAGATACAGTGTGCGCACCAATGAAGTCGATGAATCTTCATTTGCCTGTTGCACTCGTTATATACCACACTGAGGCAACTCATTTGGTCAGTAAGATGATATCTGCCCCAACTGTATGCATGTCAGAAGCTAGAAAGCAGAGTATCTGTGCGAACATAGTCGGAGTTTTTTTTTCTGCCTGTTGTGTGAGTTTTAATTGCTTCGATGTCGTCTTATATGGTGTTTGCGATCTATTCTGCTCCGATAGTATCCATGTGCGATTATGTGATGACAGAAATAATATATTTTTCATTGCTAAAATCGAAGTTTTGGTGTTACTGACATTATTGGTATCAAACATTAGAATGACATAATCATTCTGTCCGTATGAGATTTGCATCAGTAAACAGGCACTTAGTTATATCCGAAAGTTCTTCTCCTGGCTTAATTAATTCATCTACCCGGTAGATGGAGTTGTCAAGTAAAGAGAGGAGTATTTTCGAGAAGCCCAAAGCATACTTATCCCCAACTAGGAGAATTTTTTTCTTACTACTGACAGGTTTTGTATCATTTTCCATAATCTTGCTACTAGCTTTATGACAGTTCATTGAGATATTGATAACCTCACCCTGGCCTTTTTTCAGCTCTTCATTCTCATTCGCACCAAAAATATATTGAAACATAAAAATGATTCTGATGACAAATCAGCTATATACAATGATTTCACAATTGAAATAGTAGGAAATACATCAGAAATCCATGAAGAAGAAAGTAAGACAATAGAAGAAGTCGACATAAAGGTGCGCTTACCCGACCTGATCTTCCGTTTTTTTTGTTTTTGAAAACTTTTTCCAGTATTTTTTGTTTGAGTAGCCTTGGTTTTGTAACAAAAGTTTTCTGTCTGAGTTTCGGCGACATATTTTTGTTCACAGAGCGTCTCATCCTCATTTGGTTTCCTTTCAATTGGCAACATTGTTTCGCTTGGTTCTTCGGTTTGAATTGAAGTATTAATCATATCTGTTTCTACTTTTTTCTTCTGGCATTTATCATCTATTGGTATATCGGTTTGCGTGCTAACAAAAAGTTGAACAGATAATGACACATTGATTCTAGAATTCTTGAGAGACTACACTACTAGATCAATCTTTCAATAAAGTCTACATTGAGAGATTTCCAGAACAAGGACCAAAATTAATTAAATGCACACGAAGAGTGAACACCGTACAAGACAAAGACCAAGAAATTGCAATTCTCAAAAATCACCACGAAAGCAAAACTAACCATAGAGGTATATCCGAAACCTTGGAAAAAATCAAGAAGAATTACTTTTGGATAGGAATTAAAGAATCGGTCACAAAATTCATAAATTCATGCAAAATTTGTCAACGCACGAAATACGCTAGGAAAAAATCATATACTCCACTAATGATAACAGAAACACCTTCCAAGCCTTTTCAGATAGTTCATATAGACCTCTTCTTTTACGATAATAAAAACTATTTATCACTAGTAGATTCATTCACAAAATTCGCGCAAGCATTTCAAATAGCTGGAAAAACCGCTATAAATGTTAGTAATGCCCTAATCAAGTATTTTTCATCTTTTGGAATTCCTGAAAAATGTATAATTGATAATGGCACTGAATTCAATAACGAAACGGTCAAAGAAATACTAAATCTACACAAGATCAAAATTCATTTCACAACAACAGCTCATCACGAATCGAACAGTATAGTTGAAAGATTCCATTCAACAATAATTATTGAACATCTTAGAATCCTCAAAGAAATGTATTCCGAAGAACAAGACAATTTAATGGATTACGCTATTATTGGATACAATAACTCAATACATAGCGCAACAAACTATACTCCATTTGAACTAACCTTTGGCCATACCCATTCAAGAAACCCTAATGAAATATTTCTTCCAAATTCATTTTTCACGGACTATGCCGAAAATCATAAAAAGAAAATCGTGTGGCACTATTTTACTAGCAGAATTGAAAAACTCGACTCCAGTCAGCGGCATTTTTTGTGATTGATATATATATATATATATATATATATATATATATATATATAGATTCATAAAGAGGAAAGATGAGATCATTTGTACATAAATGATTGCCAAGGTGAGATCATTTTGGAAAGTCGAGATCCATTTTCGGATCTCGCCTTTTTCAATGTGTATATCAGAGTTTTTCAGACAATATCGATACGATAGAGTTCTATTTTGAATTTCATGCCGGATCTCATCTGAACAATTTTTCATCGATTTTATACATCAGTAGTTCCTGACTGTTGTAGGTAGGGGGCGCTCACGACGGAGTATATAAGTAGAGACATTTGAACAAAAGTGAGATCCGAGAATCCGGCAACGTCGTGGAGCTCATGTTATCTTAATTTATCCTGTATCCTGCTACGTACATATTTTAACTGTTTATCTATACCATGGAAATAGGAAGGTAGGAGATTGTTGGCAACACAATATTGAATATTCTACAAAAAATTGTCTGTGATATTGATTTTTTCAACAATCGTGAAGAATTCGTGATGACTAATATGGCATAAGTAGCTGCGAGTTTTTGGGAAATGGGATTATTATTTTAGACATAATCAAGAATTCAGGAGAGTGGATGAATTTTATAATTAATATGATCTGATTCCATTCAAAATTGATATTTGTGGGTTGTCGGGGATAGTGAGTTTTTCGAGGAGAAGTAGGTATAATTAATTCAAGATGGCGGAAGATTTTCGTGAACATGGTCTGTTCCTATTCAGAATTGGTGTGGCAGTTTTCGATGTCAGAGGGGTTATGTATTATTGTTTCCCAAAATTCATATTTTTTTTATCGCTTGGAGCGCACGAAAGGGAATCCCTATAATGTTCAAAGAACATCGTGCGTTCCTAGGGAGGATAGGGACAGGAGGTAGGTATTGGAATTTTTTTTGAACTTTTGGAGATTATATGTTGTTGGGAATACTTCCACAGGCAATGAATTCCAGAGCCTAGCCGTTCTATGGATGAAGGAGTCTTGATAAAGTGCTGTTCGACATCTTTCGAGGTTGACAACGAAACGATGTGCTTACTGGGCTTGTCTAGTTCGTCTGATTGGTATTGCTAGTGAAGGGATGATAGCAGAGATTTCCGAAGAACATTTCCCGTGGAAGTATCGATAGAAAAGTGAAAGGTCGCCGACCTTTCTACGGTGTTCCAATGATGTCAAAGAGTGAGTGAGTGTGGCGTCACCCACCAGGCAAATGGCTCTTCTCTGGATGGAATCTAAGAGCATCAGCGTATGTTTTGGTGCTGAACCCCATATGTGGGAACAGTATTCTAGAACAAGCCGTATCTGCGCTTTGTAGATCATGAGAAGCTGTTGAGGTGTGAAGTAGCTTTTCGCACGGAACAAGAATCCGAGTTTTTGTGAAGCAGCTTTTGCGATGGATCTGACATGATTATCCCATGGAAGAGTGTTGCTGATGGAAATACCGAGCATAGATATGGTGGGCTTGGTGGGGATGGTGGAGCCAGACATTACAATATCGGGCATACTGAGTTCTGCCTTTCTAGAGAAAATGCAGGCTTGAGTTTTGGTGGCATTGAATTCAACTAGGTTGTTTGTTCCCCAGGCTGTAATTTCAGCAAGATCTTCATTGACAGCATTGACCTGCCTGCGCCGTGAGTTCTTAGTTTCCTGGGAAGAAATGGGAATTCTGGAAGGGAACGCAGTAGGGAGGGTACTATCATCTGCAAAGCTGTGGATGGGGCAAGTTGTTACTCCCAACAGATCATTGATATGAAGCAGGAATAATGTTGGTGCCAAAATTGATCCTTGTGGAACGCCGGAATTGATGCCAATGGTATACGATATACCGTCCACCACCACGTGGAGCGATCTGCCTGATATATATTCCAAGATGGCGCACACTGAATAACACAGTAAACGAGCTCGCGAAGTATCTTTACCATTTGTTGAACAATAATTTGATCAAAAAATCATTTCAACCTCATTGATCTTGTGGTATATGTGTTCGACTTGATAACGAGTGAATTTCAAGTCTTGAATCTACATAATGGCAGCAAGAAGCCAGCGTGGACAATCACAAGCAACATCTGACCCTGCAATAGTTGCCTCTGTAAAGGAAGTTCTGCGCTCTACCGAGTTTTCCCAAATCCTATCAGCTATTGTCAAAGATGCAGTGAGTACCAAGTTTGAGAAATATATGGAAAATCAGGAGAAAGTTATAGAGAATTTAATAAGCGAAAATAAATCATTGAGGTTAGAAAACCAATCTTTAACAAAGCATATCGATAGAACAGAGCAGTACTCAAGAATTCAAAACCTACGAATATTTGGACTGAAGGAAACTATTAAAGAAGATATAGAAAAAGTCGTCCTCAATACCTTCTCTACTGAAATGGCCCTTAATATCCCAATCGATGAAATAGATCGTTGCTTCAGAGTAGGAACCCAAAAAGATTCTGCAAAACCCAGAGCCATAATGGTGAAGTTCAGAAGTTATCGCGCCAGGCAGCTAGTATTCAGTCATAAAAAATACTTAAAATCGAAAGGCATCATGATCAAAGAAGACCTCACTCATATTAGACTTAGTATGTACCAAAAGGCATGTCAAGTCTTTGATTTCCGCAATGTCTGGACTTCAGACGGGATAATTTTCATCAAAAATCAGAAGAAGATCCTCAAATTTGATGATCCCAAACAATTGGACGAATTCATTGAAGAAAATGGGAGATAATCTAACATCTAGGAACTTGGTTATCGAAGAAGAGTTTTTGAAATGTGTTTTTTTTTCTCTGTTACTTCTTTCATTCAACTCAGGGTTTAGTATTGTCAACTGTAATCTCAAAATGTATATTCTTTCTCATTTTGTTCTTCTTTTTTCTTTCCTCAACATTCAGTAACAGTATTTATTATATGAACATAATGGCTGATTTATTTAAATACGCCTCTGTGCTACATCAATACCTACAATGTTTTATCACCAAAGAAATGATCTTTTTTCTTTATTTTCATTCAATTGTTCACATACATACATTTATATCGCGACCTCGTCTACTTCGAATTTTTTTTTTTTTTGCCGTTTCTCGACCAACTACCGAATTATCACTTCTGTCTTACAATTCTTCGCTTTTTGCTGCTTTTATTTTTTGTTTCTTATTTTACTTGCTCATCGTGGAAAGTTCATTGACCTACTGTTATATTTATTTGTTTATCAAATCTTCTAACTTCCATTGTTACTCAAAATGACATACTTTAAATTATGTAATCTCAATGTACGTTCTTTGTTCACAGGATTTCAGGAGTTTTGTAATATTGTCTTGCAGAAAAAATTTTCTATCATTGGATTAACTGAAACGTGGTTGAATAGTAATATATCCTCAGACACAGTCAGGATTCCTAATTACAGACTGTTTAGATGCGATAGACCTACAAGAGGAGGTGGTGTGGCGATGTATATTCACAACTCCCTTCATCCATCTTTCATACACTCAAGTTATGATATCAATCTTGAACAGCTTTGGATTAAGGTAAAAATCAACAAAAAAACATTTGCAGCAGGTATAATCTACAGACAGCCTAGATCAAATATATCGGAGTCTCTCAATTGCCTCGAAAATAGCATCTCTACAATTTTACCAACTGTTGATGAAATAATTTGCATGGGTGACTTCAACTTGAATTTTCTGAATGGAGATGATACTAATGTAAATAAATTATGTAGAATAATGGACTCACTTGGACTATCACAAATAATAAATGAACCTACTAGGATAACCAATATTGGATCATCTTTAATTGATCAAATAT